GGCTTTTTTCTTTTTGCTTATGTGGTGCTGAGGAATCAAACCCAGGGCCTTGAGCATGCAAGGCAAGCGCTCTACCACTGAGCCACCTTCCCAGCCCCGGATTCCGCCTATTCTGTTTGGTCTCTGTGTCACCTTCTCACACAGATCAGATTGATCCCTAGCAATACAGCCTCCCTACAGATGAGGACTCCCAGAGGCTGAGTCCTACAGCTTGAGTCCTACAGCTGGCTCTAGGTGGGGTCTGAAGACTTCACTTATATCCTGGCTCTTTTCTGGGGCCTACTGGACAGTGGTCTCAGTTAAGTCCTGCCGGCTTTGTTCAGTTCGAACTCCATGAAGGAAGCTACCTGATGGAGCCTAGCCTCTCAGCCCTCAAGCACCTGAGACTTCTAAGGCTAGAGATTCCAGTCTGCAATTAACGGCCTCTGATCACGGACAGACTGGACCCCTACCAAGCAACCCAGAGCCTCTATGTCCTGTCCAGTCACAGCAGCTCTTGCCTCCAACCAGAAGCAGAATCTCTTTTAAGACCACAAGGCACCAACACAGCGTCTAGGCCAATGTACTGCCCCAAAGATCCTGAGAAACCAAGTTGTTGAATAGCATCTCACAGACTACTCTCCCAAATCATTTTCTGTCTTCATAAACAGCCCAGCAAAATTAGAATAAAGCCTCCGGGTTCCAGATGAAGAGCCCAAAACCTGGTAAGATAGTAGCACCCATGAAAGACACACCAAGAGACGAGGTCATGCTAAGACACAACTCCAGTTTTTCTGACTCCAAGTGCTGGTCTTTGTCAATCTTTTGCCTGCTGTCCAGATGTGAATCGATCGTTGCTTCTCTGGCCAAAGAACTGGAGTGTTGTCCAGATTCACAAGCACATGAGCAAAAACATCTGGCTATTTTGGACCACTCTGGTCTATATTAAGCAGATCAGCCCAGAGGGCTGGGTGACAGGGACTCACTCTGTCATGAGATGTCTTGGGTCTGCTTACTCATGTAGGCTCCTCCAAAGCCAGGTCAAACCATCCTCCCTACATCAGCCAAACTGGAGTGCACCCAGAAGCTTAGCCAATATTTCTTTGGGTGACAAGTCTCTCAAGGAAGCAAGAAACAGAGGCCTCCTCCGCCACATCAGACTTCTACTCTATCTAGACTGGTGTCTCAGTGGTAGAGTCCACACATTCAGAAGCACAGGCTCCTTACCCAGGAAGGGTGTTGGGAGTAGGGGAAGAAACAACTCCTCTCCTCAATGATTAAGCAGTGTCTGCTCTGAGGGCCTAGCTGAAGATACTGTCTCAGTTGTTCTAAAGCCACAGGGCTAACCCGCAATGTCTTCCTCCATGAGTGTCCAAACAGAAAGAAAAAGCCTAGATCTTAGACAGTATCTGGTAAAAAAAAAAAAAAAAAATTCCTATGTAATTGGGTGTAGAGAGTAGATGGTTGTCAACCCAGAGCAAGACAGAGGGCCTTGCCCACTGTAAATGTTGGGAATACCTACCTGGACTTCTCGTGTGTGATAGGCGATGATCAAACCCAGCAGGATGATGGTGGATAGACTGATAAGGCATTTCAGGGCCAACGAAAACATGGAATCCTGCAAGAGATATGGAAAGAGGGTTAGGGAGTGCTGGGAAAAGAGCATCTCACTTGACTCTATAGTGGCACAAGGAGGTGAAATAGGAATGGAGAAGGACTGTCACTGGCCGCTCCTGGGTGCAAGATGGAACACAAAATTAGCCTAAACCTTAGACCACCCCTGGGCTGGCTTTGTCTCTGCAGCTGCCCTCTTTGAATCTCTGCTCTCGAGGGTTAAATCATATTTGTATTCTCAAGACAAGCCCTCCTTGGGCATGATGTATGTGTTTGTTATACATGCATGGCTAGATTCAGTTTGCTGATGTGTTAGTTAGCATTTTTTGCCTCCATGCTCATAAGTCATGTGAACATAATTTTCTTTCTGTAGCTATTATATGGTTTGGGCATCCAAATGATGCCAGCTTGGGTTTTTGTTTTCTTTTAACAAGCATGAACCAGAGGATTTCTGAAGTCCCTTCCATCCTGACAATGCAGAGTTCTTTCAGGAATGAATTAGAAAGTCCTGGCAGCTGCTCCCATCTCCTGGCTTAGGCTGAAAGTGGAGGAGGGGGCGAGGGCAGCAGCTACTGGAGGGAGAAGAGGGGCCGGCATAGAGCAGACTCAGGTCCTAGGTGAGGGAAGTTCTGAGGTCCTTCCTGGGGAGACGGGGGTGAGGAGGAGAGTGGTCACACAATCTTCACTATAGCCTTCAGCCCCAGGGTAGCTTAAAACCTGTAGTGAGTCCTGTGTTCAGGAACAGAAGCTCTCAAGCCAATCACTGGGTCCAAATGCTGCAGCGGCTGTGTGATTCCAGGCCTCTCAGTCCTCTGCTACCTCCTGTGTCACATGAGATCACAGCAGTACCAATCTCATGGGGCCACTGTGAACGGATAGGAGCTAGCATGTGGAAAGTGCCTAGGCCAATGCCTGGCTCTGAAGAGCACTGGCTTATCATTGCTGTTGATTCACATAGATCTGGGCAGCATTTCCAAGTATTGCTATATGGCAGCCCTGTGCTAAGTCCTAACAGATGCAAAGCACCTAAGAACCACCCCCCCCCACACACACACACACAACACCACTGCCCTTAGGAAGCGGGTGACCAGGTAATGGGCAATTGCTACAATGAATCTTCGAGTTTATAAGGCAGTTTTACGTACTTGTTCTCAGAAATCCTCACAGAAGCCCTGGACCTTTATTACAACTTTATGGACATTACAAGTAGAGGCCCATAGGGGTAAGTGACTTCTACCCAAGTTTAAAGCCAAGGCCTCTGGCCCTCCCTGCCTAGAGCACTGCCCATAGTCTCTAGCCCAAAACATCCGTAAATAGACCTAAGTGACAGCTGAGAACAACAATGGACCCAAACATGCTTAGATAAGAGGAGTTAGTTCTGTTTTTCTCTAGCACAGCAGAGTACCTAGAGTTATAATGGCTTATGGTACATTTCAAACTAACTAAAAAAAGTGTAGAAGTTCTCAACACATGAACACGTATGATGTTCAAAGAGAGACAGCAATGCTTAGTTCCCTGATTTGATCACTGTTTCAAATGACCATACTCAACCTCATAAAGACACAAGATATTATGTCTGGATATATATATATATATATATATATATATATATATATATATAAGACATTTCCAAGATAGGATATGATTAATTGCAAGTGAAGCCTGCAGTGGAGCTGGGGAGGCATGCCCTGTTGCAGACAGGAGAGGTGCTGAAAGTGGAGTTAGACAGTGGTGTTCAAAACACTAGCCACTGGAGTGAGAAGAGTGGGTAAGCCTTGAACCCAGGACTTGCAGGTACCCAGGTCCACACTCTCAACCTAAGCCCATGAGCTCGGCTGGAATGAGAACAGCTTTCCTGGCATCTATCATCCTCATCAAACATTCCTTTGATGTGATTATTTGAGGTCTTTTTTTGTGTCAGCACAGTACAGAACTAGAACATAAGGAAAAACTGATGAAGTAACTCCTTTATTCATTCATTCTCTCTTTCACAACAATTTCAACCACTTTTTATTTGCTGAATACCTATTAGACACCCTACAGTGTATTGGATACTGTAAGACATACAGACAAGGTCTGGCATATACATAAATTCTCACTTTCTACACTATATGGTATCTTCCAGAAATGGGAGATTGCCTCCATTCTGCACCACCAAAAACATGGTATAGGGCTGGGGGCATAGCTCAGTGATGCAGCAATCTCCTGACAAGCTAGAGGTCCTGCCTCTGTTTCTAGCACCAAGAAAAGGAAAAGAGGAAAAAGAGCACATAGCCCAACATAAACCAACTTAACCTCTTCCATGTTCTCCCATTTAATGAAGGGTAGCCTGATCACACACTTTCTGGGATTGTCTCATGGGATCCTGGCAGTTTGCTGGCATAATATAGGCACAAATTAAACAGAACACAGTGTTGGCCCTTCAGAAGGGTCTATCTTTGGAAACCCTATATAATGCCTAAAGTACTGCCTCAATCCCAAGACCTAGCTGGGTCTGAGGAAAGGCAGTGAGCTAGGAATGCTCAGGCTGTAGGATAAGATGAATCTTCTAGAAAGATGAACTGGGGACAGCTCATGGTGATTTCCAGCCAGAAATGACCATAAGGTCCTACTCAAAGGGGTCTGAAAGCATCTGGAGAGCATCACGCCCACCTCAGGAAGAAGTGCGGATCAGCTGTACATGTCAACCTCGAATTTATTTCTTGTGGCAGAAATAAGCTAAAATCAGAATAATCCAAGGCCATTTCCATCATTTTCAGAGGAAGACAAAGTGAAAAAGACCAGATGCTGTCTCCTCTCCTTTAAGCCTCTCCCTTTTGTCCAAAAACTCAAAACTTTTCCTCTAAAAGGCAGCTCCCACCTGATCCTTGGTTTTGGCCTGTGCAGCCTACTTGGCTAGTTCTAGCCCATGGGGAGACCAAACTGTCCACAAGAGCAGCAGGGCTGCTCTGAGACATTACAGATCTCCTTGCATTCTCCATTACATGTCAGTAAAAAAATAATAATAAATCATCACCCTTTTTAATAGCTGAAAAACATGTCAAAGAAGTCTCGTTGGACCAGGAATGTTTTTGATTTGTTAAAAAATATTGAATTATCTTTTTTTTCTTTTCACTGCCTGAATTCCACTGAAGCTTGAAATTGATACGATTCTTTGGGTGATAGTGGTAACACAGGACTGGCTAATTAGCTGCCAAACAGTACATGAGGGGGTGCCTGCCACACCTGCTGTGCCCCCAATTCATTCCCCTCTGAGACCCTAAAACAGACACAGAATTAGGAGGGAGTTCTGTGTCAACTGGTCAACCTGTCTCCCCTGTGATGCAGAACTTTTCAGCAGCTCAATAGCACAGAATAATCCTTAGCATTCAAGATGCATAGGAACTATGTCTCCTTTGTTGAAACTCTGTGTGTGTGTGTGTGTGTGTGTGTGTGTGTGTGTGTGTGTGTGTGCATGTTTGTGTATGTGTGCACATATGCATGCACACTCACCAGTATTGGAGCTTAAATTTGGGGCCTCGTGCTCTCACTTGGCTTATTCCCTCAAAGATGACACTCTACCACCTAAAGTCACACCTCCATTTCCTGCTTTTTCTGGTTAATTGGAGATAAGTCTCTTGAATTTGCATACCAGGATTGGCTTTGAACCATTATCCTCCAATCACAGCCTCTTGAATAGTTAAGCTTACAGGAATGAGCCATGAGTGCCCAGTTAGAGAATATACTATTTTAATATTTGAAAAGTCGGTTTACTTTTCAAAGCTAGAAAGAAGGTTCCATGCAGATGGTATGATTCATCTTTACACCTGTCCTGGTGAGTACCCGGTCACAGTTGGCTGTAGGAATGTGCTTGAGCACCCAGGCCATCCTTATGATGGGAATACAGGTCCCATTTCAAACTCTCTTCAGAGTTTTAAATACTATTTCATTTACTCAATGCCCATGCTTTTAAAACCATGGTTCTCAACTTAGAGCAGGAGATTACACATTCCTGCCAAGTGGGGACAGGGCTCTCTAGTTACCCTGAGGCTAGATGCGGGAGCCGCATGTACCTCAGACCAACTTACTGCCTTATTTGAGTCACAGGCTATCTGAATTCATAAAATAATATAATTATAATCTTATATGGTGCTCTAAGTACAAGAGGTGCTCAATAAGTGCTTCTTGAAACTGCATAATAGTATTTTTACTTTTACCAAGCCTTTTTCAAACACTGATGATATACCAACTCCTAGAATAGGCCCTTCACACATTTTACAGTACACCCTCACCTCACACACAAGGGCATAGAGTCTCCATTTTACTGATGAAAAGACTGGGGATTGAAGAGTTGCTGAAGTGATTTTTCCAAAGACATACAACTCATTCAGACTTCAGCTATATGTCAGATTTTCAGAAATAACCATGCTCACCCCCTTGCCCTTAAGATATCTGAGGCTCCCATATAAGAGAGTTCATACCATTAGAGTCTGGCTACATCCGTAGTAAGCTACAGAGGAAGCTCCTAGCAGGCCAGGAGCTCATCACAACTCTTAGGAGATGCTCACACCATGCTCTCATTCATGTAGTCCTTAATCTGCTCTTGGCCATAACCAGCTCTTCACAGACCCATGGCTTCTCACTGATGACAACAATCTGTAGTCAGATACTACTATAGGAGATGCCAAGCAGAAAGCTTACTATCAACCCAATTCTACAGAGGAGGAAAAAAAAGAGGCTCTGAGAAGGTCAGAATTTAAAGAAGCCAGGTTTTACACCCAGCCCTGTGTGCCTTCAGGTTCTACACAAAGCTGTTCCTTGGGCTGGGCCCTGCTGGCCTCCAATCTCTGCAGCACTGCTTCTCAGAGCCATTCAGCTCCAACCTTTCCTCTCCCAGGGCTATGCACCCGGTGATAGAGTATGTTCCCTGGCCTCTGAGCCAGTGTATAAATTGCTCTCCTGGCTTGCCTTGTAGCTTCCAAAGACAGGCCAGAATTGTAATGATTACAGTAGATCTTCCCAGAG